TTTGCGTCAGGTGGGAAATGTACAGGATTACAGAAGAGATTTTGAGAAGATAAGTGGAAGCTTGGATTTCGTTGATGATGAGGTCCTTCGGGTAATCTGGCTAAACGGCTTGACCACTTGCATCAGGGAGGAACTCTTATTGCAGCCCTTAGATAGCTTGCCGTTGATGATGAAGAAGGCACAGCGTATTGAGAGGCGAAATTGGGCTTGGAGGGCTGAGGGAATTGGAGGAAATGGCCAGGGCGTTATTTTGGGCCTGCTAAATCCAGCCATGCAAATGGAGCCCGAACCACTACGGGTCAGGGTAATTATGGGGTAGCGGGACAGAGAGTGGGTCAAGTATTCTCTACTACTTCGAACCCTACGCACGAAAGCCCCAAAACGCCAACGAACCCTAACGCAGCTAATCAATACACGCGCATGGAGGAGAGCCAAGGCAGCAGCAACAACCGTACCAGTAGTCGACGATTGCCTCAAGCTGAGTGGCAGGAGCGTTCTCGCAAGGGGTTGTGCTTCCATTGCGAGGAACGGTGGAACCCTGGCCATCGCTGTAAATCGAAGCAACTGAACCTGTTGTTGGTCGTCGATGGTGAAGAAGAAGACCACGCTCCGGACAACGACGCTCCGGACAACGACGCTCCAAATGTCACGTTCCAGCTTTCGTCTCATAGCTTATTAGGGCTGGCATCTAGTAGATCGATGCGATTATGGGGTGAAATCGGAGGCCATAAGGTTGTAATTCTGATTGATAGCGGAGCCACGCATAATTTTATCAAGGAGGAGACTGCTCGGGAGCTCGGCTTGAAGACGACTAAAACTTCTGAGTACAAGGTGGAGATTGGTAACGGTGACCGTTTAATTTGTGATGGGGTATGTCAAGGAGTAGGGATTCGGTTTCAGGGAATTGAAGTAGTTCAGGATTTGTTCTTGTTCAAGCTTGGAGGTGTGGATGTGGTGTTGGGTATGGACTGGTTACGGGAGTTGGGTACCATTAAAGCAAATTTTCGGGAACTCTCTCTCAGCTTTGAACAAGAAGGACGAAGGGTAAATCATTCAGGCTGAACCTGAACTCTCATGCTCAGAGGCTTCCTTTAAAGCTATCACGAAGGCAATTCAAAATGATGGACAAGGTTTTTTGGTGCATCCTAAGTGGCAGTCATTTTCTATTCCTGAAGATCAGAAGGAGTGGGAAGAATTGAAGCAGTTGCTGGGGGAGTTTGAGGATATTTTTGCTGTCCCTTCGGGTCTCCCTCCCAAACGCAGCAGAGATCATGCCATCCTCCTCAAACCTGGGAATGATGTCCCCAATATTCGCCCATACAGGTACCCTTTCTATCAGAAGGATGAAATTGAGAAAAATGTCAATGAATTGTTGCGTACTGGTATGATTAGGCCAAGTGTGAGCCCTTGTTCAAGCCCTGCAATTCTGGTAAAAAAAAAAGACAACAGTTGGCGAGTATGTGTTGACTATAGGAAATTGAATAAGATAACAGTGCCTGATAAATTCCCAATGCCAGTCATAGATGAATTAATTGATGAAATTGGGGCAGCTAGCATTTTTTCTAAGCTGGATTTGAAATCCGGGTTCAACCAAATCCGGATGAAGGAAGATGACATTGAGAAGACAGCTTTTCGAACTCATGAGGGCCATTACGAATATCTCGTAATGCCCTTCGGTTTGACAAACGCCCCATCTACTTTCCAAGCCTTGATGAATGAAGTCCTTAAACCATTCCTTCGCAAGTTTGTATTAGTGTTCTTTGACGACATACTGGTTTACAGCCATTCTGAAGAAGTGCATATTCAGCATTTGAGGGCTGTTTTAGAGGAGTTGAGGCGACAACAACGGTATGCAAATAGAAAAAAATGCACTTTTGGGCAGCCTCAGATTGAATACCTTGGCCATATCATCAGTTCTAAGGGAGTGGCAGCTGACCCTTCAAAGACCATGGCTATGCAACAGTGGCCGGTCCCTAAAGATACTAAAGGGTTACGTGGGTTCCTTGGTTTAACCGGATATTATAGGAAATTTGTGCAGGGATATGGCATATTGGCCAAGCCTTTAACGGATCTGTTGAAGAAAAATGCCTTCTGTTGGAGTGAGGCAGCTCAGGTTGCTTTTGACCAACTCAAACTCATCATGTGTGATCTGCCCACCCTTGCCTTACCTGATTTTAATAAGCTGTTTACGGTGGTCACCGACGCTTCGGGTAAAGGCATTGGAGCTTCTCTTATGCAAGAAGGGAGGCCGTTAGCATTCATTAGCCAAGGTTTTTCTCCAATGGCACAGGGGAAGTCTGTTTATGAAAAGGAGCTGATGGCTTTGGTTTTTGCTGTCCAAAGGTGGCGTTATTACCTTTTGGGTAGACACTTTGTAATCAAAACTGACCAGAAAAGCCTCAAATTCCTTATGGACCAAAGGGTGTTAGGAGAGGACCAACAGAAATGGACCTCTAAACTTCTAGGATTTGACTTCGAGGTTCAATATCATCCGGGGAAGGAAAATGTGGTGGCAGACGCTCTTTCTAGGAGGGGAGAATTTTTTTCTTTTTCTACAGTAAGGCTGCCCATGGTGGAGCAAATTGAGCAAGAGTAAGGGGCTGATTCTACTCTTCGGCAGTTAGTGCTAGACTTGGCTGCAGATCCTTCCAAGCACCCTGGCTTTCAACTGATGAGTGGGAAGTTGACTTTTCATGACCGATTAGTAATCCCAAAAACATCTAAGCTCATTGACACCTTACTCAGGGAATTTCATGCCACCCCTGTTGGGGGCCATTCCGGATTTTTTTCGCACTTTTAAACGAATCTCCAATTTTGTTTATTGGGAGGGGATGAAGAAAGATATACAAGGCTATATGGCTCGGTGTGCTGTGTGTCAACAGTGTAAGGCTTCAAATTTAACCCCTGCTGGTCTTTTACAGCCTCTACCCATTCCCAGTCAGGTATGGTCTGATATCTCATTAGATTTTGTGGGTGGTTTGCCAAAGGCTTGTGGGGTGGACACAATATTAGTAGTGGTGGACAGACTTACTAAATTTGCTCATTTTATTCCCCTCTGTCATCCTTATAGTGCTCAAGAGGTTGCTGTTCTGTTTATAAAACATATTGTCAAACTGCATGGGTTTCCCTTATCCATTGTCTCTGACAGAGACCGGGTTTTTATTAGCCATTTCTGGTCCGAATTATTTAAGCAGGCTGGTACCTCCCTTAGGTATAGCACTGCTTATCATCCGCAATCTAATGGGCAAACTGAAATTGTTAACAAATGTTTAGAGACATATCTTAGATGTTTCTGTAACCCGCGCCCTAAGCAATGGCCGAACTGGTTACATTGGGCTGAGTACTGGTATAATACCACTTATAAATCTTCTACGGGTGTTTCCCCTTTTAAGGCTTTGTATGGATCTGACCCCCCCTCTTTGTTCCGAGTTGGACACGCTATACAGGTGGCTGCAGTGGACAAAATGTTACAGGACAAGGATGCTGTTCTTGGGGAGCTACAACAACATTTAACAAAAGCACAAAACCGTATGAAAGTCCAGGCAGATAAGCATCGTAGGGACGTCCAATTAGAGCTTGATGACATGGTTTTTCTGAAAATTCAGCCATATAGACTCAAGACTTTGGCTCGGAGAGTTAATGAGAAGCTTAGCCCCCGTTTTTATGGTCCATATCGGGTGTTGGCAAAGGTTGGGGCAGCAGCATATAAGTTGGAGTTACCTCCTTCTTGTCTTATACATCCTGTCTTCCACGTATCCTTACTCAAAAAGGCACTTCCCACTTTAGAGCTAGCCAAGGTCCAGCCTCTTCCTTCTATGTTATCTGAAGATTTTGAGCTGGTGGTGGAACCATCCGAGGTGTTACAGTGGCGTAAAACACTGGGTGGAGCTGTGGAGGTCCTGATTCGCTGGAAGCTTCTTCCTCCTTTTGAGGACTCATGGGAGGACTCTTACATGCTACATCGTCAATTCCCGGAGTTCAACCTTGAGGACAAGGTTCTTAATTTAGGGGGGAGTATTGATACAACTCCTCCTATATTAAAGACTTACCATAGGCAGCGTGTCAGGGAATCAACCTCTCCTTGCGGTGTAACTAACTTCAATGCAGGTGCAACATTGGATAATGGTTTCCATACAGCAACGAGTGCAACACACGGTTTGGCTGAGTCAGCAAACGGTTAGAGAGCTGGGGATAAAAAAGGAATCAAGAGGAGTAGAGAGGCATCTTTGGAGAATTAAGAACTTGGGCCTAAGGAGAGATCAGAGGCTCTCCAACACCTCTGAAATTATCTTTCTTATTTTCTTTATTTCGTATTTCTTATTCAGTTATGTAATTAGAGAGATTATGGAAGAAATCTGTCATGGAATTTACATGTAATCGTTACAGTGATTTACTGAATTAATACAAATTGTCCCTGTTTCTGTTATTTCTGGAAAATTGTTGTCCTTACTGTTACACCTTGCTAAAAAATGCAATGGGGTGTTTGTCTTGCATCAAAGCTGCCCCAATCCCTCTTCCAGAGGCATCACATTAAATCGCGAAGGGCTTGGAAAAATCGGATAGAGACAACATAGGGGTTGTCACCGTAGCTTGCTTAAAGGTATTGAAGGACTCCTCTGCCGCGATACTCCACTCAAAGCTCCCCTTCTTGAGCAAACCCGTTAAGGGTTGAGCTATTTTTCCCAAGTTTTTCACAAATCGGCAATAATACCGGTTGAGTCCTAGAAATCCGCAAAGGGCCTTGATTGTTCGAGGAATGGGCCATTGTAATATACTTTCCACCTTCTAAATACAATTGTAGCTCAGGGATTTTTTTTGTCAATGATCTTTTTAACAAATAAATGCTTCCAGATTATTTTCTTTCGTTCAAATGTTAAATTTTAATAATAGTCCTGGTGGATGTTACTTGCTTTTTGTGTTTTGTATAACATAGCTTGATTAATAATATTATTGTAGTATATCCTTTTTTGAAAATTGAAACTTTAATGTTTGATATGCAGATCATGCATGCAAAATCGTGCTCTGATCTTTATAGAGTTGTTGGTGAGGAATTCTGGTTGGCTACCTGGTGCAACAGTATTGCATTTGAAGGGTAAGTTTCCATAGTGCTAATAGTCTCTGGAAACATAATTTCTTCAAATGCTTACTTTTTGCTTGTTAATGTTTCTTCAGGAAGCAGCTTGAAGGGACAAGAATAACCCTTGTAAAAATGTAAGCGAGATACAAGCCTTGTGGAAATTCCAATTTCCTTTTCTTGGCTGCTTTATTTTACTTTTTATTCTTGTATATTTTATTGGGGAATTGAATATTTTTTCAGGAAGGAACATGGTTTTGACTTTGCAATTAGAACACCTTGTACACCTGCTAGATGGGAAGATTATGATGCAGAAATGGCAATGGCATGGGAAGTATGTTTCTCATACCAAACAACTTTTAGTATATTATTTAGCTGATTGTGATAGATATGCCCCCTTATATGGTCAATTTATGTGGCTTATATCTAAAGAATGTTTCTTTAGCATCTTTACCAATGGTCATTGGTAAAAATGGCCACCTCTTTCATTCGATCATCATTTTTACTTACATGGTCATTGCCAGCTTTAGAAATTTGCTGACAGATATTTTATTCTTCTTGAAGTTTCATCTGAAAACATGTTTTTGTTTATTTGTTTATAGTTCAAGTTACTAAATGAATTGTGACATTTACCTTATATCCATCTTGGGACTGTTTTCTGTTAGACTCTCTGCAATGCTTACTGTGGTGAAAATTATGGGTCTACTGATTTCAACACACTAGAAAACGTGAGAGATGCAATTTTAAGGATGACATATTACTGGTATGACATTTTCGTAATGTACAAATTATCTGTTTTGTTTTTTTAGCATTTGAAAGTCATTTCTGTAAATAGGACTGAACTGCTTTTCAGGTATAATTTTATGCCGCTGTCTAGGGGATCTGCTGCGGTTGGATTTGTAGTTATGCTGGGCTTGTTACTTGCTGCCAATATGGAGTTCACGGGAAGCATCCCACAGGGTTTACAGGTTGATTGGGAAGCCATTTTGAGCTTGGATCCAGACTCCTTTGTGGATTCGGTTAAAACATGGCTATACCCATGTCTGAAGGTGACAACCTCGTGGAAAGACTACCCTGATATCGCATCAACTTTTGCAACAACAGGATCGGTTGTTGCTGCTTTGAGCTTTTCTGATGATTGAACTCCTGTAAACATGACCAGGTGAGTTAACTGCATATTAACTGTAAACGGGCTTGTTACATTGTAACCATATGTTAACGATTATTGTACAATATTGTACGTTATTGCATTGGGTGATAAAATTACCATTTCTCTTCTCTCCAATTTTTCAACAACCACTAGTTGCCTCGTGGGCCCCTGCGCGCCCCAAACAGTCGCATGTTTTCTGTCTGTATTTCACTTATTGAATTGTTCACAGCAAGAATCGCCGCTATCCTAATTCTTGAAACCCTTTTTTTAAAAAAATCCTCCATCCTTCACTTTATTTCCTGTTTTATCTCTATTATTCTCGTTATGGTTAATGGTTAGGTGTACATCCACGATTGAGATATTCAACCTTCCGTATATAATTATTTTATTGTTTAGTGCGCAGAAAAAATCAAAACAGTTTGGTAGGATAAGACGCATAAACCCAACTTTATTGTGAATGATCTGTAGATTTTGCGAGAGATCGTAAAATAATATTTAGGGGAATATTATATGCTTAAACATCACAATCTAGTTTTGTCCTTTTTCCAACTTTTATCCTGCTGTGAATATTTTTTGCTAAATTTTTGAAGTTTCAGAGTCTAATAACATCAATTGATTTAAGGCGACCATTTCATTTGATAGATTTTGAGGTGAGTAGAATAAAGGATAATAAATATCATCAGTATATTTCATATCTACTATTTTAAAAGCTAAAATTTATTTGAATTAAGATTTTTTTAGTTATTTTATTTTAGATCTTTAATTCATCATCTATATATTCAATGTATTTAAGCCTATTTATATTAATAGGCCTATATTGTAAATAACAATTTAACCGACACAACAGAAAAAAAAGTAGGATTAAACTGAAAATGTAAAAATAAGTTCAATTTTATTAGGCTAATTATTTTTCTATATATATCCTATTAAACTGTTTGACATACATATATGTGACATAGGGGTTAAAGTCATGGGCATTCTCTGTGAGATCAAATCACAGGTTGAAATCTCATATATGTAATTGTGTCAATAATAATTATTTGTTCGCGTGAAAAAGATTACAACCCTTGTAATAAGGGTACTTAGTTTTAGGAAAGTCACCCCTTTGTGGATGTGATCGAACTTGAATCGAATTGAAAAATAAAATAAAAATAATCGATGAATTGATGAAGAAATAAAAAAATATTTACATCTCTAATATAAAATAAAAAGTTACATTTATCTAAACTGAAGTATCATTTCGCTTGTTGGTTGACAGATATAACTAAAACATTTTCACAATGATTCTTAAATATTAGATTTTGTTCCTATTTTACTTGAATTGATGTACGAAAGTTATGCTCATTCATATATATTTTGCAATAAAATTGCTGCTGCGATGGAGGTTCAAGTTATGAGTGCTTGGCAGGAAAAAATCACCCCTGAAATATCTTTAGTTATTTATTTGTCTTATTTATTGGGTGTTGATTGTTGAATTCTTGAGTAGCTGCTTGACATCTGATTCGGTGCCACCAAATACCTAATAAAGTTGATAAACCCATCAATAGATTATATCTTGAGCTACCTATACCTATACTTCTTCAAGCGTGATTGCCATTTAGTATTGTCGGAAGGCGAGAAAAGATATGCCAATGTTTTGAAATGCATGTGCTTTATTTTTAGACGAAAAGATTGCCTATGACGTTTTGACTTTTGAGAATATTAACCTGAATTATACGCTGTCATTCTTTCACCGGTATGTGGGATATTCTGGAATTAAGTCCTCTAGCATTTTCGTTAAGAGCAACGATATACAGTTATAGAAAGACTCTTTTCTAACAGAATTTTCACATACTTCTTCATATATTGTTAAATAAAAATTAAGAACTTCAAAAAAATTCCACCGCCCATTCTTTTCCAACGACATTTATATACTATTGCTTCCTCTGCATACATATGTGCACTGTGCACGCACACATGCATACAGGGAAAATCATTTTACACTATTTTAAATTAGTGTCTAATAAACTCACGTGACTAATAATTAGATTTGTTAGATGATACAGGTACATGTAAGATTTGTTATTCTTAGTGTAAAGATAAGTTGATCCTTTCATGTGTGTGTATATATTATTCTCACATTCAACTAACGAAACCTCACACGAATCAAGGGCGTAAATATATATTACAGGCCGTTTTTTTTCATTTTCAGCACTCTTGTATCTTCACTTCACCATATTGGTTAAGAGACCATTCGTAACTATTGATAGAGAAAACATTACTAAGAAATGCCATTACTGTTCTATGTCTATTAATTTAAGGTCATTAGCAAATTCTCATAGAAGAATATTTTGGCACTTCCTTGTGAATGAAGGCAAACGTAGTGGACATGCCAGTGTGGAAGATCCCTGATAGTTAGGTCCTTTTTCTCATCTTCGCCTAAGCCTCACCCTTGACTTGTCCTTCTTGACTTTCTTCTCTCCCGTACTCTTCTCCCGACGAAAGGCTCTTCTACGATGGAACCCAAACCTGTATTTTAAACAAGAAAAGGGTTAAGATACTCCATTCCCCACAGCAATGCATGACTCTCTATTATAAGCGTACCCATGCATAACACGATAACTTAACCAGCATGGAACTTAAAAGGTGACTTATTTGGGTTTTGACATATCTCACAAACAGTTTAGAACTCACCTTTCATTTTTCTCCTCGTTTTCTTCCTCAAGTTCATAACATCAAATTGATTTTGGCTCATCATGAACTCTTTCAGTGCTTCGTGTTTGCTACACCACTTTGACTTGGCTGAAGCAAAGAGCCACGTGGAGTTCATATGCTTGTTAACCATACGTGCTGCATAGTAAGGGATTTTGAGTCCCTTTGTCTTCCAAGACCTGAAGCGGGTGCTGATGAACTTTAAACAATCCATTAAGCTCTCTTTAGCGAGCCCTTTCATGTCATAAGCTTGTGATCTTCTCCACAAACTCTTACTGTGAGGACACGCCACATCCGATAGGCACAGAGCTCGAGTGGTATCGCTTATAGCAGATTCTGCATCTTTAAGAAGCAAATGACACTGAGCTCTGTTGCTATGAAGCACAATCCTCTCTTTCCTAAGTTTAAGAGGGCACAAATCCAAAGCCTCTGTGTACTTCATCACAGCCTTTTCAATCTCCCCTGACAAAAATCTCTGATTTCCTTCTTGTTTCAGAACACTCGACAAGGCTTCTTTTTCTCTGATTTCTTGCTCATTCATTAGTCTTTCTCTCTTAACTCTTTCTACCTTCAAATCCCATAATTCTTCTAGTGTTCTCCTTGTTCTTTCGCTATTCAAACTCAACTTGTAAAACTTGATTTTGTGGTAATCCTGCAACAGAATCTGCATGATTGCTTGTCCAACTTTGTGTTTTCCTCTTATGTCTCTGAGTTCTACCAAATCAACAAGAACTGGAGCTGCAGTGTCTATTACTTTATACCTTGTTACTGGGTCTCTGAGAAGTTCGAAAAGACTTTCAATAGCCATGTGTTGCCTATCATCTGAGGATCTTGCCACGTTACAAAAATTCTCTATCACTTCTTGCAAATCTGCTATACTTTGTCTTCCAATTTGGGTGTGACACAGAGTTCGTAGAAGTCCTATTCCACCAGGTGAAGATGGATTTGCCATCCCTCCCCACATTCCACATAAACCCTTCAAGAATTTCTTCTTGCAGATAAATCTGAGAGATTTTTCTTTGCATGCAAAGCAATCTATGAGATAGAGAGACCAGCACTGAAGCTGGCTACCCCATTCTTCTGCTTTTCTATTTTCTAATTCCAAGCTTCCAAACCCTCTTGTTAGCAAGTTTCTATGGTACTCCAATCTATGTGACTCCTTCAAGCAAACAAACTTATCATATACCTCATTTAGGCACGTGGAAGCTATGTTAATAGCTGCTTCTATGATTTCTGATCTATGTTCATTAACGGCTTCAAAAGTAGCTTCATGGCTAGCCAGATGATTCAGTGCTCGAAGTGCAACTCTTTGTTCAACCCAACTTATCTTACCTCGAAGCAGTTCCACTAGTGGCTGAACCACCATAGACTTAACAGCTTTTTTGGCAAACTTAGCTTTGTGCATGGTATAGGAACCAATGATATGTGCTGCATAATATGGTATATATATGTTCTGGTGCCTAAGAAGCCAACCTTTGTCCTTGACACCTTTTCTAATCAGTTTGGCCATACATCTAAAGCTGCCAAGGGAAGGAAATTCTGGATCGTTTGGTTTAGTCATGGCGATTTTCCATATCCCACTTAAAACCAGGATATGTTCTTGGTCTTCTCTTAGAGGCATTTGTTTGAAGTAATGGGCAATTTTAGTTCTTCTAATAGAAGGGACAGTTTCAGACAAGATGCAGAAGAAACAGGAACAGTTTTTGCATGTTGGCTTATCAGGTAGCAAATTATGACTAGTCTTGCTAGTTGAAATTTTTGAAATTTGGGACACCATGGATAGAGATGAGTTTGATGTTTTGGATAGATAGTCTTTGGTATGGATGATGAAACACATATCCCAAAGATTAATTATATACGGGTGGGTTATTTTGGCATGTTGGAGACCTTGTGGCTCGTGAAAAGAAAGTGAGTTGAGTAGCACATGTTACATGTACAGTACAGAAAGTAAGTATCATAAGGGCCTCTGTTCAATACGTGGGATGCATGATTTCTTCTTCAAACAAATGATCCAAAGTTGAAGAAAATTCAACGGGGTTTCTTTTTCTTTCAGTACTCCCAAGTGAATAGGTTGTGTTAATTTGAATAGCTTGTTCTGTTACATTCTACGGAGGTCTTAATGAATATATGAAAGCGGAAATGGTTTTGGAACAAGACCAAGTGAAACCATATATTAAATGAAGCTTTTAAGTCCATTAAAATGAGGGCTATAATATAACGGATTAGCTGAACAAATATATGGTTGATGAACAAACAAAGCCACAACACTATACAGATGAACCTTCATTACCTGTTGACTGGGGTAGACAATGAATCTACTCTGAACAAAAGCATACAAACTAGTTATAAATCGTAACTTATTATACTCTTCATCAATATCTCTTGGAAATTAAGTATTCAAACTCCCCTGCTCCCTGCTGATTGTATTAAAATATTTCTGTTTTTGCGGTAGAAATATTTTTTGCCACAATAATATAAAAGTAAGTGAATTTCATTAATTTTTTTATAATAGAATTCACTTACTTTTATGTGAACATAATAAAGAAAATATTTTTGCAGAAAAAAAAAATATTAAACCGTTATATATGCTTGAATTGATTTTTGTGCAGTGTGTATTTTCCCTATATGCTCGAATTAAACTAAATATTTTTTTTCTTTTTTATTTTTTATTTTTGGTTTAATGGGTGAATGCTTTGCGTGTGAAGTGACTAAATCTTCTTTTGGTTTACAATATTAACGTGTTTGTTTTTGTTTTGTTTCGATTATTAGATATTTAATTCCATCTATATGGCCCTCTATTTTTATTTTTTGTTTTGTTAATACTGTCTATGCCATTTGCTATATATTCTAAGTACTCGTGTATCGGCTTTTTGACCCTTTTGCCCCTTATTAATTAATAACCAACTTGCCCCTCCCCTAGAACTATCCATCATCCTGCCCTCATTTAGTCGATCAAGTTGCACTTTTAATCGACTAAATGGGCAAAATTCAGAAATCAAGAAACACGAATTTTAGTCGATTAAATATTCACCTTGATCGACTACATGTCGAGCACATTTAGTCGACTAAGGCCATTATTTAGTCGACTAAATATCGCGGATCAGGTTTTTTAAAAACCCCCCATTTCGCAAAGGGGGTTATTTTCAAACCCTAGTCGACTAATTTCGCTCCAAGAACCCCTCTCTTCAACCAAGTCCGAATCTCATCCCTTGAAGGTCCGATTGAAGCATCATTGGTTCCCAACTTGCAAAATTGACATTGTAGGTAACGTTTTCTGACTTGCATTTGGTTTTAGGTTTAGTTTTTTTTTTTGTTTTCTCCATGCTTTGGTTTCTGTTTTTTTAAATTTCTTGTTTATGGTAGAAGGTTGTTTGCGGTTTTGTGACTTTAGGTTAGGGGTAGAGTGTTGAGTTTGATGTGAGGGTAATTGACTAGGGTTGATGTGGTAGCTTAGGGTTAGGGTAAGGGCTGCTATTTTGTTTGGGGTGTAGGGTTAGGGTTCCTGTTTTTAGGTTAGGGTATAAGATTGTTTTCCTGCGATGGGTTAGGGTTAGGGTTAGGGTTAGGGTTGCTGTTTGGGTTTGGGTTGCTGTTTTTGATTGGGTTTAGGGTTTACGTTCCTGTTTTTATGGTAGGGGTATAGGTATAGGGTTTGTTTTATGTTTTATTTTAGGGTTAGGGTTTAGTTTTTTATACTGAATTTTAAAATTTTTTGATATTGTTATTGTCCATTGATATTGTTTCCACTTGCATTGTAGGTACCGATGTTCCCATGGCTGCGCGTAGAAGATCGAATAACGTGGGAAATGAGAGACATAAGAAGGTACGACAAGACCATCCGTCTTCGTCAAGGCCACAAGATGAAGAGCTCGCTCCTGTCAACCTCCCATTCGGATACTTGTTCGAGCATGACCCCGTGGTTCATGATTCATTTGTCCGTGACTTTGCTAACCGACCCATACGTGGGGCCAAATCACTTGATACAACATTTTTCGAAGTAGAAGGTTTTAACATTGTGAGGTGGTTGGACGGAGCACATCTTAGGGTTTTGGCTGAACTGTCGTGTTCATATTCAGAGCTGCATGTACGGGCCTTCTACCATAACCTCAGCTACGTACAGGGTGAGCTGAGGTCGAGGGTCTGTGGGGTGGAGATCATCATGACGGCTCCGGTATGGTTGGAGTTACTGGGGTATGACTTTGATTCTGCGGACACTGTGGAATATGACGCAGATAGCGGCGCCACACTTCCAGGATATACACGAGGTGATGCCGTGCAGGAGCAGAAAAGAGTCCGTGGGCAACACATTGCCTATACGGTGGGGTTGCTTACTGTGGAGTCTCGTATACTACACTATGTCATCACCCACATTCTGTTTCCGCGAGCGTTCAATCATTCCAGGGTGTTGGAAAATGACATTCTCATCATGTGGGCTATCCGACATGGTACTTTGGTGAACTGGAGGCACTACATCTGTTGGAAGATGTATAAGGCCAAACACAAGGGTGCACTTCCATTTGCTTGTCTTGGTCAGAGGATATTGGAGCAGTTTGGTGTTCCAATGGGCAATGTGACCTTGAAGAAGACCTCAGGGTATAATCATAAGTTTGGAAAGCGTCTACTGGAGCAGTGCAAGATGACAAAGAACATACAAACAGGAGTGTGGCAGTTCACAGGCGCGGCTGATGTTGAGGTTCCTGATGTTGCTCCACTTGCAGATATGGTTGAGCCCGAGGTGGAGGATGATGATGACGATGATGATGAGGGTGAGTTTTCATTGCGTGATGTCATGAAGGGCATAAACGCCACGCTGAAGAAAATAGGAAAAACGGCGCTGAAACACAAAAAATGGAGGAAGGGTCACATCCAGAAAGGGAATGAAAGGTTTAGACATATACAGGGACGGTTCAAGGGTGTTGAAGATAGGCTTGCTCGTCTAGAGCTTGGACGAGGACAGCAGCAGGTTGAGGATGTTGCAGGGCAGGGGGCTGATGTGTCCGACGAGGATGACGAGGAGACGGCATCCGAGGAGGAGGAGGATTAGATTTAGGGTTTATGTTTTTTACTTTACGTTTGTAGTGTGTGTTGATATGTAATTGACTTCGGTCTTCTTATTTGACATTTGTAGTTTATGTGTTTTTATGTTTAGGAGATGAACTATTTAATGTTCTCATCATGTTGTGAACCGTTTACTTATTTATGTCATTTTTATTGTTTACCACATGAAGGAATATGGTATTTTTCCATTCTTGTTTTCAATTTGGGTATAATCACAGTCCAAAGGGTCTAAAATGTCCAATGCAATTTAGAACAGTCACTCATAAGAGAGTTAAATGACGAACACAAGTTTCGGGTACCCTAAACCAAGATTTATGCAATACATGTACATATATGGTTTATAACCGCCACAATACAATTTTGTACCTAAAATTGTGTTCCCCAAGTCATAATATGCGTGTACATTAGTATTCAATCGGTTCCATGCCAAAAAAAGAGGGGAAAACATAATGGGGTGCCAAAACCACTGATTTAGTCGATCAACTGAACTGGTTTAGTCGACTAAATGTGTAATCGACTAAACCAGTTCAGGTTGATCGACTAAATCAGTGGTTTTGGCACCCCATTCTGTTTTCCTCGAATATTTTTTGCATGGAACCGATTGTAGTCTAATGTACAAGCGTATTATGACTTGGGGAACACAATTTCAGGTACAAAACAGTCAATACCCCATTCGTATGCATTGTTGGGTACCTATTGATTGAAACTGTTTGTTTACGCTCCCCGAAACTAGGTGAATTCATTTAGGGGTCATAATAATAATTGTTACGAGTTTCAATCTATCAATATGGACCAATGTTACTAATTTGAATAGGCATGAAAAGTCAAATAACATAATGAGTTATACAGTAACACAAAGTAACATAAAAATTCATAACAGAATTACATGAACTCTACCATAAGACCTTAAATACATGCACATGATTGGTTCAACTTTGTCTAATCCTCATAGGACATGTACGTTTATTGTGACCAATTTGCTTGCAGATGCTACATCTACTTTGACTGCTTGTGGGTTGTGACTCAACCCAATCCATCTCATTCTGTATCCTTGAAGACTTTGGTCTCCCTTGTGCACGAACCAAAGATGCGTTTGGGATAATAGTTGGACCATCTATTTCTGGAATCAACAACTCATTACCCATTGGAAACCAATGTCCAGCATAGACCTTCTCAATTTGTGTAATGGAGAACACAGGATCGACATAGTCATAGTGGTTCAATTTTTCAACCTTGCACACCGCTAGCACATGACTGCAAGGAAATCGTCTAGCTGTGAACCGTTCACATTGACATTTACGATTTAGCAAGTCAACCCTCATAATGTCGCCGGCATCATGCGTAGATTGATTGTAGACATCCTCGACTTCGAACAACTGCAAGTCTCTATAAAAAACACGGACACGAAGACTGACAGTTAACTGATCATTCTTTTGTAAGAAGTCCTCAACCTTTTTTGCAATTCTCTAGCCTTTGTCCTTTGCTTTTTGGATCTTTTCACGCCTCTTGACAAAATACTCTACAAGTCTACTTTGCGTCATCTTGACCAATGCCGTTACTGGTAAATTACGTGCACCCCGTAGGACCTTATTGATACACTCAGATAGGTTAGTCGTCATATGACCAAACCTTCGGCCCTCCTCATCATAAGACCTGCACCATTTCTCTTTGGGAATCTGATCTATCCATGAGGCTACTTGTGGGTTACTGTCGACAAAT